CAAGCACAAACAATGCATCTACTCTTTCATGTCTATTTTTTCATTTCTAGTTTTCTTGGTCTTTATTTTTTGTCTTTTTAGTTTTCTGGGTTTTTTGTCTCCTTTTTTCTCCAGTTTTTGCAATCATGTGTCCTCAAAAAGGTGAAACACAACTGTGGTTTCACGTGAAGCACACAACCTGCGGAAGCATGAGTTTGCTTACTTGAAAGCACGGGTTAGTACAGTTTTAAAGGAGAAGTATTACTACTAGTTAAAAACACGGATTTCGTCCAAAAAGTTTATCAAAACCTATCAATATGGTAACTAATTTTAAATCTTTCAACACAAAAATTGCAGTAGTGCTAACAATTTATGATTTGTGCACCTAATTCAAGAGATAAATATTTGTAAAAACGAATCTAGGAAAAAGAAAGACACAAACTTACCCGTGCATTCCATGCATGGAGAGAAATCCCACAAAACCTCCCTGATTGCGACAAGTGTAGCACATGCAGTGTGTCATTTGTCAGCACTAGAGAAGACGGGAGTAAGTGACATTTGCAAGGGTACACCTTCCGAACGACTTCACTAGTGAAAGTAGTCATTTGTACAGATTCAAGTCATACACATGCACATGCATACCTTTTCTTTTTGAGACATTCTCGCTAAGCTTTATTCAGATCATCAAAACATTTACAAGAATAAAATATAAATCCCCTGATAGCGCTAACCAGACACAATGACCAAACCTAAGTGATGACACTTGCTTAGCGAAATTGTGAGCCTCGAAATTTGAGCTTCTAAATTCATGTATAATATAAGTAGAAAAACTATAGATTGTTCTATGATTTCATGTATAACTAATAGCTCCATGATCCGTCGAGGATCCCTGCTTGACATCTTCCATCACGTTCTTACAATCATATGCCACCTGAATCTTTTGTACATATAGATTCTCGGCAACTGTGAATGCCTCCCTTACTGCCAAAACCTCAAGTGTGATAGGGTCGAAAATGTGTCTAAACATAATAGATGAAGCACCCCACTCCTCTGTTATCCCGGCATACCGCTGCAGCTGCACCAAAGTTCTGATTCATCACAGCAACATTGGCATTAATTTTCACATACTCTGGTAGCGGGGGTAGCCCACTTTGATGGCCTCAACAATGTACTTCTGCTCATAGACTGATTCGATTTAGAAAGTATTTGGATGTCCTTAAGAAAAGATTTAATGAAATAATGGGTTGCCAGAGGACTCTCAAATGTATCCTCGTGTATAGTTGTCGACCACATTTTGGCCCAACGGTGGCTCATAAACATAGGCTCAAACACGGGAAAATATCAAGTACTCCAATCCTTGGGGTGCTCCCCATGCTCCAACTTCAAATAAATCAATTTTAAATGTTGCAAAAAAAATTGGAAAAAATATTAATATTCACAAGGAATGTGACTACAACTCCTAAAAATTTCTTGTCCAAATTCTAAATGCACATTGAGAAACAAAAATGTGAAACCTAGCATGAATAGTGTCGTAAATAGACAAAAGCAACATTTGACACTATTCACATCTGAATTTGTCATTTTTGTTTCTCAATGTACATTTTGAGTTTGGACCAGAAATTTTTAGAGGGTGTAGTCACATTCCTTGTGAACATTCACAATTTTTTTCCGAATTTTGGAAACAATTAAAATTGATGTTTTAGACTTGGAGCATAGGAAGCACCACATGGAAGGGAGCACCTTATATTTTCCCGCTCAAACGCGCTCGGGGTCAGCCCATTTTGTCAATGTTCAGAAGGATTTGCCAATTTCTCTTCTTTCCTTTCCATTTTTCCTTCCTTTGTCTTTTCTTTTTCCTTTTCCTTTGTCACTTCTTATTTCTTATTTATTTTCCATTTCATTGTTCTGCTTTTTATTTTCTTATTTTTTAATAAATCATTTTTCACATTTTGTTCTTCATTTATGTTTTCCTTTTAAAAAATTGAACATTTTTCCTACAGAAATGAAACATATATGTGTATGCATGCGTATGAAAAAAACAAATCTATGAACCATTAAAAATCACATTAATGTTTTCTCAAATACACAATGAATATTTTATTTCATACACATCAACATCACTTATCTAGTATGTGAACATTTTAAAATTTTCACGAATATGATTTTTCTACTTTATTAATCTATGAATCAAAAAAAATCCTGAAAGAAAACAACCACTGGCGGTCGACGGTATGATAATTGAGTTGTGTAATACTTTTCGTTTCAAGAACACACGTAAGAATCATGTGTCTTTTTATTGATAGATAGAGGAATGTTGTTACAAACACACTTATATCAGCCCCTATGACTGACTGGAGCCACCTCCACATTACAACCGAAAAAGGACTACCCGTCTTGCTCTCCGCTAGTGCATACTTGGACCCAAGTCACGAATTCCGTCATGATCAGAGACGCTATCACAACCAGTAGAGTCAATTTCCGCTCGAAAACTCTATCGTTCCTCCCGAGCCACTCCGACGAAAGTAGTCATTTGTAGATTCAAGTCATGCACGTGCATACCTGTTGACTACATTTTGGGCCAATGGTAGCTGACCCTTTGCTGACCTTGAGCTACTTTTGCCGGTTTCTTTTCTTTCTTTTTTCCTTTCTTTGTCTTCCTTTTCCTTTTCCTTTGTCACTTTTTTTCCTTTGTATTGTCCCTTGCATTTGTTCTGTGTTTATTTTCTGTTCTTTAAAAAAAATACATTCCTTTTCTTTCTTCTGTTCTCGATTTATGCATTTCCTTTCTGTTTTATTTTAAATTCTTCCCAGAGTAATGTAACAATTTTTACATGTACGAAAAAAAGTTTAATCCATGAACTGTTGCATGAATCTATTTATTACATTAGTATTTTTTACACATTAATTTTAAAAATACACTATCAATATTCTATTTCATATGCACAAACATTATTGATCTAGTATGTGAACTTTTTCAATCTTAGCGAATACACCTTTTACCTATTTTTGTAATAAGTTGTCAATCAAAATTTTTCCAGGAAGGAAACAACCGCAGGCTTAAAGGCCGACTAGTAGAGCATCTCTAATAGATGATGTAGATGCAAAAATAACTAACTTTTGCATTTTCGAGGCTCAAAAACCCTTCTCCAACAAATGATGTAGATGCAAAAAAACATTACATCTGTGCCTCCCGAAGATGTAAACTATAACACCTTGTGGTGCAAATTTGCATCTCCACCTACAGAAGATGTAAAAACACAACCGTCCACCAACTGTCCGACTTTTGTTCATTTCACTTCGGCGTGACCAGCCGCCTCCGGCTCGCCGCTCGCGCACCACCGCCCGGGCTATGGCCGACTCCGACGACCCCGCCACCTCCTCCGCCGCAGCCGACGCTGGTCTGACCCACCCCGCAGCGCCCCCGTAGCCATTGAGGAGCTGCCAATTTGAGCCTGTCCCGCCGCACTTCTGCCGCTGTCACACTCGCCCACCGCACCATGTCGTCGCCGCCCCGCTGCCAAATCCGGCCACTCCATTGCCCATGCTACCGGTTTCGCCGCTGCTCTGCCGTCGCCTGCCTCCAAATCGGCTGAATTGGTCGCTTCCCCGCCACTGAATCACCGCCTCGCCGCCGCATGATTTGAGCTCGCCCCGCTGCCGTCGGATTCGAGCCATACACTTGCCTCCACATCGCCGTCGCTTTTCCAGTGCCAGACTCGACCTCGCGCCGCACGGCCATCGCCCCTTCGCGACCAATCCGCCGCTCGATTCGCAGCCGCGTTGCCGGCCATTCGAGCTCCGCCCGCCACATTCGACATCTCGACTCTCGCCGCTCAGCCACCGACGCACCTGCTGCCGCCGCTCGGTCCACCGGCGCTCGGCCCCCGGCGCTCATGCCGACTACTTGTACATAGTCACGCGGCCAGCGGCCGGTTTTACATCTCTAGTTTGCATCATCTGTTGGAGTTGCTCTTTTACAACTCCATTTTGCATCAGCTGTTGGAGTTGGCACTTTTTTTGAAGATGCAAAAAGCAGTTTTAGAGATGTAAAATTTTACACCTCATGTTTTACATCTCCGAATTTGCATCTTTTATTGTAGATGGTCGTAGGTCGGTGCACTATTGCTACATATGCAATGCTTATTCCCTCTGGAGTGCTTGACTTGTGCTCTACAGTTGTTTTTAGCTGTACGCGTTTAGGCTAACGGTCCGATCAGTAAGCGATCATTATTTTGCAACCCAACCAGACACCTTACGCCCCATCACTAAACGTCTAGGCCATGCAACCCATATCTGAGATGGATATGAGAGGCCAGGACGTGTACGCAACGTCGGACCGGGCCATGCTAATCCACCATGTCCCCACATATACACCACGTGGTACAACCATAGACTCTGGTCAACGTAGTCTCGAATTCTCCACTCCACTCTTTCCATCCTCCTCTCCCGGTCTCGTCCCCTCCCCTTCCTGTCCCATCGATGTCGAGCTCCGGCAGCGCGGCGTTTGGCGGCGGATCTGGCGATGACGACCCCGTCGATTGGGAGTCGCTGCAGCGCGGCGAGGGCAATGAGGAGCTCGCCCTCCACATTGTGTTGCAGCGGTCCCGGGTGGACAGGGGCGGCTCCTCCTCCATGCAGTCCCCAGTCGCCTGGCAACGCAGCGCGGACGCCGACACCCGTCCCCAGCTCCCCACCGCCCTCCCCCCGGCGCCCCTCTGCAACCGCTCATCTCCGTGCTCTTACCAACAAAAGTGCAGTTGTTTGTAGTCACAAGCTACTCCTCCGTCTCATAATGTAAGACGTTTTTCGACGCTCATTATGGAACGGAGGGAGTACAAAAGACGGGGCATCATTTTTTATTTATAAAGAGAGCATGGTGTAGACTGTTATCTTTGACAATGCCGGCCTCTCGAGTACCACCTGTAAACCCCATTCAACAGAAGATATGCTATACTACACATGTCAAATGAATGGTATTGGTATGGACGGAGAGGATTCCTCTGACCGACTCCTTGTGAAGCATGACCCATTTCCTCCATGAATATAAGGACAGATATAAGCCCCCAAAAACCAGAATTATGTCCAACTTCAACAGACAGACGACTTATATTATGGAATTCAGACAAGCAGCCGGTGACTTCAAGGATGATGGAAGCTCCTTCATGTGCTCCCGGCTCTACATCGCCACGTTCCAGGGGCGCCCGCAGGAGGTCGCCGGCCTCCTGGCGGGAAGAAGCGGCGACGCACCGCCGGCAGCGCACTCCAAAGGTATCGCGGTTGTTGATCACCATGGGCGACCATGTACGACCCAGGAGGTCACCGGAGAGGGGAACACGCTCCTGCACATCGCCGCCGGGCAGGGCCACGGAGGGCTCATCGCCGAGGTGTGCTACCACGACAGCTCCCTCCTGTCCTCCGTGAACCGGGCGCTGGACACGCCGCTGCACAGCGCCGCGAGGGCCGGCCACGCGGACGCCGCGGAGGCCGTCGTCCGGCTGGCGCGGGCGAACGTGGAGGAGGACGCGCTCCGCGGGATCCTCCGCGGCAGGAACGACGCCGGGGACACGGCGCTGCACCTGGCCGCGAGGCACGGCCACCGCGAGGCGGTGGAGAGGCTCATGAAGCTGGCGCCGGAGCTCGCCGCGGAGGTGGACGGCGCCGGCGTGTCGGCTCTGTACCTGGCGGTGATGAGCGGGTCCGTGGACGCCGTGAGAGCCGTCGCCTCGCGCGGCGACGCGTCGGCCGCCGGACCGAGCTCGCAGAATGCCTTGCACGCCGCCGTTCTCCAGAGTTCAGGTTTGTTTTCTTCGCCCTTTTCAATTGCACCAGAAAAAAATTCCATGCTTCATGTCAACATCTGTGGTCAAAATAGAGGAAGGGAACACGTTGCGTTGTTCAATGGGCAACTCGTAGTTTCGTACAGTTAGCCTGCTATAGTTTTTTTTTTTTTTTGAGGAAATGCTATAGTTTGTGAGAGGTTGACCATTTTGGGTGTGACGCATATGGAGTTGTGACATCTGTGCACATACAAGGTCAACTTGAATTTTAAATTTGTGGTGCCTTGCACTCTTGCAGATCAACTTTATGTTGTTTAAAAAATACAGTATAATTCGGCAAATCGTGCCAATGAAACTGCTCCATTTGTGCACAAGATAACGCAACCCATTTGCCCATCCTAAACGTGTCCAACTTTTCTCATCCTGTGAATTTTCTTTCTTTTTCTTTGCGGGGAATTTTCTTTCAGGCAGTCCTGAAATCAGAACACCTCTCAAAAGTCAAAACAACCTCTTTGAATTTAGTGTTATTACAGTTCCTTGAAGTTTTCAACTGAATTTCTGTATTCCTAAGATAGATCATCTGATATCCCCTACCCTTTGACAACAGTTCAACAATTCTCCAACCATAGCAAACGTAACAAACTACCCTTTCATCTGCAGAAATGGTTGACTTGCTCTTGCAGTGGAGGCCAGCACTCGCCAGCAACCTTGACACAAACAAGAGCAGCCCACTGCATTTCGCCGCATCCGACGGCGACTGCTCGATCATCGAAGCGCTCTTAACACATTCACCGCCCAGCACCGCATATCTGCAGGACAGCGACGGCGTCTCAGCTCTGCATGCCGCGGCAAGGATGGGCCATGTAGCCGCCGTCCGCCTGCTGCTGGAACTATACCCATCTTGCGCCGACATTCGCGATAACCGGGGCAGAAGCTTTGTACATGTTGCAGCCATGAAGGGCCACTCTTCGGTCATGTCCTATGTTATCGAAAACAGGATGCTGGAACATCTTCTGAACATGCAAGACAAGGAAGGGAACACGCCGCTGCATTTGGCGGTGGCGGCAGGGGAGCACAAGGTCATCTCCAAGCTGTTAGCGTGTAAGAAGGTGCATACCCACATGATGAACAATGCTGGCCGGACACCATCTGATCTCATAGAGGATTCAACTGGTTTCTACTCAATGGTAATTACCCTCTTCATTTCCGATGTTTATGAGATATTTTAACTTGCAAGTACTTCCTCATCACAATACTAAGGGATGCATCTAGTATAAATAGTTAGTGAGATGTGTGGATTCGTTGATGCAGAGGCCGAGAGAACAATCTATTCTATGACTAAATATAGATGCTTATTGTTGTATTTTTTTCCAGTAATTTGCTTGACATAATTCATGGTACTATGAAAACAAGAGACAAATACACATGGAGTTCATATACATAATGTTTGTTTATGAATATGCAGATAAAGCTAGTGGTGAAACTGTATATTTCTGGAGCACGGTTCAGGCCAGAGAGGCAAGACCATATAGAGAAATGGAAGGGTCAGGATATCATGAAATGGCGAGAGACGACATCGAAAAATCTTGCGATTGTCTCCACACTCGTGGCAACAATCGCCTTCTCTGCAGCATTCAACGTGCCTGGATCATATGGATCTGATGGAAAGGCAAATCTTGACGGGGATCGTTTCTACAACGCCTTCTTGGTGTTGGACACCATTGCCGTGACCACATCTGTGGTCGCAACAATACTGCTTATCTATGGGAGAGCTTCACAGACAAATCGCAACTGGATAGGCTTCATTGTGTCAATGCATTTCCTTTGGGTGGCACTGAATAGCATGATGCTAGCCTTCTTCATGGCTATAGCCGCCGTGGTGAGTGACAAGAACCCCATGAAGATTGCATTGTCTCAGCTGATGTACGGCGGGTTGTACATCCTGACGACACTGCTTGCATGCTTTGCAATGCCCGGATCATTTCTAGGTGTTGTGCGGTTTTTGGTTGGCGGTTGTTCTGAACATCTACGGCGTTCCAAAAGACGCATAAGTCGACAGTTCCCCTTTGTTGTATATTATGCCTTTAATGTGATTGTGTTCATCATTGTAAATACAATAGTGCTTGTATTAATTAGTGCCGCTGGCCGTCTCCCTAGGTAGAATGGCTCAGATCATACTGCAGTACTATTTTAAACATGAGTCTTCTTAATTGCTAACATTTTTGTAATTATGATTAAGCATATTTGTGTCTGAGTTAACACTTCCTTTCGTACAGCAGAATTTTGAGAGATCATGGTTACAAATGTTATAGAGTGAACGTTTGAAAAACAAAATTTGCTTTATGCAAGTATCTTACGGAGATTACTTTTGGGGGTTTCACTACATCTCTCTCGAGCTATGAGCTTTGTGATGTGTCACGTCATTCACTCTACTTTACTTTCATATTTAATAAACAAAAATCTTCCTTGCTTGACCCAAGTGGAGCACTAGTCCATCCATGTTGGCCATATTCTTGTAACCCCGCACAATTTAAAAGATGATTGTAAATCTTGTGCAAGACTTATATGTGACCTTACATATTTCGTTATGATCCTACGTCCATTGATGTTACCTTATGATTCCCATACGCATATTATTTGTTGCACGCAATTAATTTTTTCAGTACATGTGTCATGATGTCTCGATTGCACAAGTCTAGTGAATACCGACGTTGCCCTGGGAGAGGGGGAGTTGTCACACACACACACACACACACACACACACACAGTGGGCATAGCTGCGCAAGATGAAGACCATGCTCGCCCGACGTGAAGTAGTACACAAGGAGCAATGTGGCATGCCCCGTTGGGTGACGATGCCAACTATGTGGTGTTCCATCATCCGCCACGCGTTGCTCGTCACTTGACATCACCAGGATAGCACCACCCACACCATCTCCGCAATGGAGGCCTCTTATTCTTTGCCAGCCCGGATGCATACCAGGCGACAAACATGTGAAGGGACCAGCCGGAAAGACTGGTTAGTTATCATAAAACAAACAATCAACAAACATGTGAAGGGATTAAGAATGAATATTGGAAAAAAAAACAGGGTCATGATCGCGACTCAAGTCACCTTACGATCCAAAGTAGCCACTCCGATTCTACGATTTTGCTCATAGAATATAAGATTCTACGATCCTGTTAGTTATGATTCTACGACTCACGATCCTACCAACGGAACTCCGATCCGATTCAGAATCTCGATTCTGACAACTTTAGTTGCACCTCATTATGTGCCTCGTGCCTGAGTGATTTACTAGCATGAAACGCCATGTAGGTGCAACTAGCCGGAGCCGCATGATAGATTAGTCCATTGCATTGTACAATTTGATGGATTAAAGTATTTGGACCTGTCGAGTTTTTTATGCCTCTAGTACAATTATTTGTTAAAGAACATGAATAATATGAACTACACAGGTCACCAATATATATGTATATATATACATTACTGTGACCGCCAGCCAACCGGTCAATATGCAACGGTCGCTAGCCCACCAGCCAAGATGTTTTT